GATAGATAGATAGATAGATAGATAGATAGATAGATAGATAGATAGATGTAATGATAGAGAAATGCTTCGCCCTCCTCCCCAACTCTTGCCTATACATACTTGCCATGAAGAGAAGAAGGATCCTGGGTTCAATAGGTTTGGTTGACTGGGATGTCTGTCTCCCATGTACTCATCTGTACAGATGTCACAGCCTTCAGCATCTCTCCAATCCCAGTAGGGTATGGTGAACTCTTCATTCCCAGTAAGCTTCTGGATCTCACGTTCCCACAGGAGCAAAAACAGCCGATGCCAAGGAAGGAAACCCGGGGCTTCGTGCGCGAAGTCAATATCCCTCCAGACGTTGGTGCCTCCGAGAAGCGTGTCCCGAGATGCATAATAATGCATCCAGACGAAAAGGTCATAGACACTGATGTCTCGGAACATGGGAGTGGTGCCGTTGTTCATTTGGGCATACGTTCCAGTGGCAATGACAAAATCCCGGCTGGTGGAATATTTTGCCAAATTGAGATAGGCAAGGAACTGGTAGTTTTCTCTGGCGCTGAGCTTGAAGATGTCTTTCCGGATTTGCAGCTTTCTTTCTGTGCAGTTGGGTCCTCCAAAGTTGAATTTGCAATCGCCACAGTTGTATCCCATAAAGTTGTCTGAGCACCTGCAAGTCTTGTTGTAAAACATCGCTGGCCAGTCCTCTCGGTCATCCACTCCAGAGAAAGGGAACTGAGGACCGAGAGGAGCAACCGAAAGGAGATTCTCTCTACAAGAACCCCGTCCTGAAAGCTCACCACAAGGAGAACCGTCTCCGGGCCACGTTGGACAACACTCCTTCCTCAGCAAGCTGTCTGAGTTAGCACACGACCGAGGGAACTGGCTGGACGCAAGGGGAAGGATCCCCAAAATTATGCAGACACACAAAAATCTAGCGTCCTGTCTGGTCATTTGGTTAACAAGCACGATTTTATCCATCTCACTGGCTGAGAAATTCTTCTTGCATATTTCTTCCTGGTAATTCATTCAACTGTGCTTTCCTCTTGACCCCATACAAGCACACTTTGGTAATCTGATTATCACATGCTCTGGGTTTCATCCAAGAAACATTTGCCCACTTTCTACTCCAGTTATGCAGAGACTTATTCTTTTTTTTTTTTGAACCTCATCTTCTGCCTAGCACATGACTTTTGACAGGCTGCATTGTAGAGCTTTCTCACACCGAGCTACTCGGACCACTGGGTTGCTGGGCAGATGGATGAGGAGGAGCAATTGAGTGATAGTGGAGAGTGGGAAGAGATACTCAACTTTTCAAATCAAGTCAAGCCTTGAGCAAAAGGTAAAGATAAAGGTTTCCCTGTCAGTCATGTCTGACTCTAGGGCAGGGGTGTCAAACTCAAGGCCTGAGGACCAGATCCGGCCTGCAGGGTGCTTAAATCTGGCCTGTGGGGCTGCCTTGGAAACAGCGAAAGACCAGCTCTGCACAGCCCCCCCCCCCAAGCTCCGTTTTTGGCTGCAACGGTCTCCTGCAGCCCTCTGCCAGTGAAAATGGAGCTGGTGGAGGCCGTGCGCAGGCCTCCCGGGCTCCGTTTTCACTGGCAGAAAGCTGCAGGAGGCTGTCATGGCAGAAAATGGAGCCCGTTTGCTGGTAAAGAGCAAAATCTCCATTCCCACCCCACTCCTGGGGGAAAGTTACCACTGGTTCTTCAAACTACTCAAAATTTCCACTACCAGTTCTCCAGAACTGGCCAGAAACTGCTGAATATCACCTCTGCTGCCCAATCTCTTCTTAAAAACTTCCAGTGTTAGAGCATCCACAACTTCTGTAGTCAAGTTGTTCCACTGATTGATTGTTCTCACTGTCAAGAAATTTCTCTTTATTTCTAGATTGGTATAAGTGACAATAAGTGAAGTTTCAATGACACAATGCCCAACAGCCTTGAAATGATAACAAGGTAAGCTTGCAATGTGAGAAATGTGCAGGCATATTGGAGCATGATGGATCAAGCTCAACTTCTCCGTCCAGAGGGAGTGACTAAACCAGTGGCATTGTGGGTGGAAGCAGCACAACAACACAGCTCCAACTCTTTTTAATGTTTGTTGGGATGCTGTGTGGCTATACGAAAGGCCATTGTGGTGGCTCAGCACTGCGGTCCCAGCTTTGACAACAGTGCTGGACTAAACAAACCAGGAAGCTTTAATGGGAGTGCTCTTGAAAACTAACAACAACACAAATAGGCCTTGGCAACCTCATTTTTCTTCTGTGTCTCCCTGACATTGCTTTAGTCTCATCCTGAGCCTTCGTTACACAGGTATAAAATCGTCTTTTCACCTTTAACCCAAGGTTCACGCATGAATACATTCATCTTCCCAATTTTTGATGGATACGTAGATGGCTTGTTGGTTTGTTTTTCCTGCACTTACTTTATATATGTTCTTATCAGTGGTCAGAATAAATATTATCCATCCATCCCTGCATTTACAGCTTTCAAGTAAAGTAGTCCTTGACTTATGACTGATCGTTTCATGAGTATTCAGAGCTATAGCAGTCTGAGAACAGGGGTTTTACAGTCTGGGAAGTGCTTCTGGCTCTCATAAAATGTTCTCTCCCCTTCTATGTGGTTACATGACTGCATTTTATGTGATGGCAACCAGCTTGCCTTTATGACCTGTTAAACATCTTGTGGTCATATTCCTTTTTAAAAAGAGAAAATGAAAATGAAGAAGGGAGGGAGGAGAAGGAGGAGAGACAGAGGGAGTAAGGGAAGAGTGGGAGGGGAGAGAGGGAGGAAGGAAAGAAGGAAAGAAAGAAAGGAAAGAAGGAAGGAAAGAAAGAAAGGAAAGGAAAGAAGGAAGCAGGGGAAGGAAGGAAGGAAGGAAGGAAGGAAGGAAGGAAGGAAGGAAGGA